AAAATATTTATAAATATGCAATATATGTGATAAAGTTGTTAGAAACTAACGAAATAATTTGGGTTTCGCATCGTATTACTATAGAATATTATTATTTAAATTTGTAATACAAAATTTGTATAAAACATGTATATATAATATTCATGGTATGCTTGAGACCAAAGCCATTGAGTATATTTACAGCTGTGTAAGTGAGAAACCTTTTTACTATATTACCTAGCAAACATTGAATTCTAGTATGGAAGTGACTAAATCTGACCTCATAAATATAGTAACCACATTTGAAAAGAAATAATCTTTAAGAAAATATTTCACTGACATACTAATCCTATTTTAACAGTGTAGTCTAGTTGATATTGATTTCATATAATAAGCTAAGAATTAATTTTTTAAAAATGGTATTTACGTTAGTTATTTCCATTTATTTAATTAAAAAAATATCTAATTCTATTTTATATATAAATCAATTCATTTTATACACAAAACATCTCCATTCTAAATATAACCCAGTCAGGTTTTTTTAATAATCTATTTGATTACATTAATTGCTAAATTTAAGTTAAAGCCTGAGCTTTAATTGTTTATAAATATTTAAATGTGTTTATGATTTAATATTCTAGGCATTCGATTGGTTTATGTAACAAACAAAATCATTGTATTTCTTACCAATACATCACAAATAATCATTTATAGTCGAAAACCGTGCTATAACGAAAGAGACCCCTCATCTGGCCATTTAATCAAAATTAGTTTATAATAGCAACAGTGTTATAAATTACATTAAAAAAATTGTAGTTATGTATATAAAATTTATACTATTTTAAAATACGATCGCATGTGGGTATATGTTTTACCAAATTTTACTTAAAGAGACTGTCGTTAAATCCGGTTTGGTTGTTATATTAGCTATTATTATAAGTATCATCTACTGTATTGAAATAATAAATGTCATTTATTACAATAATAAATGTCATTTATGACAATAATAAATGTCATTTATTACAATAATAAATGTCATTTATTACAATAATAAATGTCATTTATTACAATAATAAATGTCATTTATTACAATAATAAATGTCATTTATTACAATAATAAATGTCATTTATGACAATAATAAATGTCATTTATGACAATAATAAATGTCATTTATGACAATAATAAATGTCATTTATTACAATAATAAATGTCATTTATGCTAATAAAAAATGTCATTTATTACAATAATAAATGTCATTTATGCTAATAAAAAATGTCATTTATGACAATAATAAATGTCATTTATGCTAATAATAAATGTCATTTATGACAATAATAAATGTCATTTATGACAATAATAAATGCCATTTTTGTAATAAATGTAGTTTATTACAATATATAGCAATTATTTTTAATTATTATAATTAAACTTATAAGTATAATAATTTGTATACATTTATAATTATTATAAATGTCATTTATTAAAATAAGTAACATATATTATATAAAAGTCATTGTTATTATATAGAAATAGCTATTAAGAACAATTTCCGGCAATCCCTAAGAAAATTTTTTTGTCTACGTCTTGCTAATTCCTTATATGCATTTTCGATTACTAATAAATGTAAAATCAACATGGGTGATTTGAAAAATTTAGTTTCATTATTTTTTATTTTTACTTATTTTTGTGCAATTAAATTTGGTTGTAATTAAAGAAATTTAGTAGCGAATCTGAATTATTCAAAATAAATCGGTTATATGAAAATGTTTCAATTTAGAATATGCGGTTAATACGCAAGTTTTGGCGACGAAGAGTGAACCAAATAAGTGTTTAAATAAGAATATTACAATTAAAATCTTAATAAATATTTTTGAGAGATTTCTAAAATGTGACAAACTAAAAAAATAATTTAATTTTCGTTGTTGAAAGTACTAAAGTAAATTAATTACAAACGTGAAATAAGTGTTTACTAAATATAAAATTTAAAATAAATTTTAAATAATTAAATAAGCTATATATTTACTAATAAAAAAACAAACAAATAACGCGTCACAATAGGTCAGTTACAGTCAAAAAGTGTATCAAATGCGTCAGCAGTGACGACAAACGTTCGCCAAGTTGAATCGCGCGGTACAAAGATGTTGGAAATAGATGCTTTTAAAGATACTGATATCGGAATCAAAGAAACTATAATTAAGAGTAATTATTCTAATTTCAATGAAGAAAATATTGAGTATGATTCCGATGGATTTAGTGAAGAAAAAGCAGATATGAATATTAAATTTCCCATACATCATCATCGTCAGTTAGCGCTACAACGTGGGAAGGATTTTCCCATTACCAATATAAAACTTAAGGAAAATCAATTTCAAGATATATACATAGAAAAAACTATGGAATTTCAAAGAAATATTAAAAAAATTATTCATCCACGAAAAGATAAAATTTCGATAAATACTAATAAGAAGGAATGTCGAGAAATACTAAGATGTTTTCCACAAAAATTTTATAAGAAAAATAAAGAAACTAAGTTTCCGTTAATAGATGTTAAAAAATTTACGGATTCTAAAGAGAACGAAGTAAATATTATAACATGTTCTTATATAAGGAATAATAACAAAGTGTTCAACACTTTTCCATTAAAACTTACTACTATATTAGAACCATATAGAGTGCATAAAATACGTTTCCCTTGCAGTTCTTTTGGATTCGATGTTAAACACAAAAGTTTAGATCTTAAGCCAGCACCCATTAAAAATGTATATGAATCACAGATAATGGATCTTGCAATCAACACGAAAAATCAAAAATTGCCTACACTTTATGTGCGATTTCCAGTGAGTACTAATAGAAATGTATCCAAAACAGAATTTCCTATACAAAATTGTGATATTGTTTTGCAAGATGTAGACAATTTAACAAAGAATCGATCATTGGAAACGATTTATAAAACTTTGGAAAAAAGATTCCCTTTAAAGATTTCAAAATCTGATTGTTCCATGATTGCATTTTTTCCTGTGAATATTATTACAAATCAGTGTGAAATCCATGGTTTTACTAATAATTATTTTAATGGCTCTGAAAAACTTAAAAAAAGTTACTGTCTTCGGAAAGGAACAGAAGAATGCGATAAACGAACAATGTTGTTGCTGATATCAGAAAGTGAACCAATCACATCAAGTGGAGAAAAGAACCAGAATTTATTAAGCCTATCAAGATTTCCAGTAGGGACTTTTATTAAAAAGAATTCTTTAAATTTTCCTATGCTGGAGAATGGTTTTGTAACAGAATTATTGGAGTATAGAAAAAATATGAAAGTCAAGTTTCCATTGGCAAATATAATAATAAAATCTTTAACAAAGTTTCCAATTGCCACTTTGGAAACTAATTATTTTTCTGTAAATTGCAATTTAGAACAATGGGAACCTGACAGAATTCATAGTTATTGTTCTATTAATTGCAATGCAGAACAATGGAAGCTCCTATTATCTAAAAGAATGGGTGTTAAAACGGAAGAAGATAATATTTTATTTTTGAAGCAATTTCCTTCATGCCATTTCGAAACTTCAATAGTTCTGGCTAAGAAAAAATGCAATAGAAATAAACTAATGGTCAATGTGTTTCCATTAAGGTTCCCAGCAGATGAAAATAATAGTCAATTCCCATTTATTCAACAAAATCTTATTTCACTACGTGCAGAGCAACAAGCTATATCACAGCATTCAACAGCTGGCATACTAGAAAAAAATATCTGGAAAGAATCTGTCACTGCAGTTCAAAGTAATTTTCCGGTTACGTGCGTGATGTCAATGGATATGCCGATATTTCCGCAATCCTCTCAAATATCGACTCGTATGTTTACTTTAAAAATACCACAATACTCAAAACCCAATTTGTCTTCATCTTTAACGGATTTTTATATAAATAATAAAAATATTGTAAACAATCAAAATAATAACAACGTAAAATATAAACAATTTCCGCTACGACTACAACAACACCTACACTTACTGAAGCCCACTTCCTTTCCGGGTCATATAAATAAATATTCAAATGCACGTTTTATAAATACCCAGATAGACTTTAATCATAAATATGATGTTATTTGTGGTGATGTGTTTGCTTTGCCAAATGAAAATAAAAAAATTTCCACTGACAAACAGCAAACTATGAAAACAATATCACCAACAATGACGCAGTCGGAAAATTTCTATAGAAGAAATATTCATCTAGGGAAAATTCAAGTTCAACAGAATGAGCAAGTTCAAGAAGAAAATTTTTTAAATTTGAGCACACGAGCTGAGCAAAAAAGTAATAATAGCTGCGTTCGAGAAGAACAAGAGCAACAACAACAATATGAAAAGACCAATGATGACGTCAAATTGTTAGCAACAAATTTAATAAATATTACTAAAAATATGAAAAGATGTAGCGATGAGCAACAACTGGCCCAGAGTGAGAGCAGTGATTTGCTCTTTCAACAAGTTATTAATGATGAAGATGAAACGTTTGCAAAAACAACAACTAAGACTAAAACTAAAACTAAAACACCCGCAATGAGTAAAAATCTAGCACATTTAGATATAATTTATAAAAATATGAGCCATCAAATAGCTAACTCTTCGAATGATACGCTCAATGCTATAGCCACCTTAGACGTATTGATCGACCACCAGCAAATATGCTCAGATGTGCGCGATACGTCTTTGCTAGTAGAGGTACCAGTTGCTGTAGGTACTGCGTCGGAAACATATCCATCAATACGTTTAGTACTAGCGCAGGCCATATCGCATGAGAACTCATTACACAAAGCATCGATTTTAGAAAAAACAGAATCATCAGCGGCAGAAGTGACCAAGAATGTTTCAGATTGTGCTACACCTGAAAAATTGACTAAAGAAATTCAAGGTCTTGGAAAAAATATAGATGAATCACGACAAACGGAAGTGATTAATGAAAAGTGCGTGAAAAGTGAAAAAACTGACATGACCATTACGAAATCAATTAGCGTAGAAAGTGAGGAAGAATACATAACTGAATCATTAACGAGTTCCGGTATTGGTGCGGAAGAACTTACTGAAGTCGAAGTTAATGAAATGAAGTACGAAATGAAAAGTGCTGAAAGTGCTACGACTCAAGGTCGTTCGAGCTATAAAAGTGATGTTCCATCATCTGTAACTGTACGTAGTAAAACACCGAATAGTGGTTTAAGCGATACAAAGAACATAAAAAACGATTACAGTAGTTCTCGATTAAAAAATGAAATTGTAACACCAACACAAACGCGTCTGAATACTTCTATAGGTTTTAACAGCAATCGCGTTAAAATTGATCCAAAAAACCCGGAATCCGTGCGTACAGGTACTAATGTCGGTTACAGTAGTAATGCCGGTGTGAAAAGTGAGCCTATTACACATAATGTAACTACTGGTACCACTAATACTTATAACAAACATAATTCTAATATTTTGAGTTCCACTCGTAATCCACCAATTACTCCATACAATAGCAAAAATGATGTAATTCAATCAAGTGTTCCACGTCGAAGCAGTGCTAGTGCTGCACCCACAAAGCGTGGAGTTATAGATTATACTGAACTAGGCTTACGTGATACTACTAATAAGCGGCATAGTTCAGGAATGGACTATACTAAAGACTTATCTGAACGTGTTATACGAGAAACTGCTAACAAAAGGCATAGTACAGGTATGGATTATACTAAGGACTTGACTGAACTTGGCGTACGTGAAGCTTGTAACAAAAGACATAGTACAGGCATTGATTATACTAAGGATTTAACTGAATTTGGTTTACGTGATGCTGCTAATAAGAGATATAGTACTGGTATTGATTATACTAAGGATTTATCTGATTTTGGTACAGTAAAAACTCCACGGAAGGAAAGTGAAATAAAACATTCCTATTCGGTTGATGCTATGCCGTCGTCGCTACCAACGAGTACGCGTTTGAGGCGCCAACGACGTATGTATTCACAGGACTCCGCCGACGATTCCGAAAGTGCACTTGAAAAACTGAATCGTTTACGTGCGCGTATATCGGGTGCATTAAGTGAAGTAAAAGGAGTACTTAAACAATATAGCACTGAAACGGAAGCTGAATCTGATAATACGTTGGATAATAAAAACATACTGGAGTCAAAAAAAGTTGATGATGGACCAGTACAATTTCGATTTGTGAAGAAGGTGCGTAGAAGGAGTTTTTTCAATGAAGCAGATGAAGATGCAGTAAAAACTGTGGCAGAAAATAATGCAACTGAAACAAAAACTGAAGCGATGAATAGTGAAATTGTTTCAAATAAAAGTGCTGAAGAAATCAAACCAATCAATATTAATGAAGACAGTCAAGATTCGGAAAGTGGTAAATTGCTAGACTTAAAAACTGTTGCTGCTAATGAAGAATCATTAGATTTAATAAATAAAAATATAAAAGATAATTTGTTAAAACAAAATGATGAGAATAATAATGAAGCTAAAACTGTAAGTGAAAATGAAAAATTAGAGAATAAAAGTGATGAAAGCTGTAATAAAATAAATAATAATTACATTACAAGTGCTGTACAATTACAAGCAGTTTCTAATGAAAATCAAATTTCTGAACAAAATTTAACTTCAACCATAGATGAAGTTGACAAAGCAGTCTCGGGTAGTGCCAAAAATGACTTAAATGTAATGAATGCCCAATTACAAGTAGTGGAACATACACGACGTTTATCACCAAAGTTAAAAAATAAAGATACTAATAATAAAAAAAGTGCTTCTGAAAAGCTATTGCCAAATTCAGAAAGTATTAACTCGGTTAATAAAAATAAAAATAAAAACTTAAATTTAAATTCAGAAGTGCAAAATATTGAATCAAAAAGAAAGTTATCACCAAAGTTAAACAAACAGGAAACTAATAAAAAAATTCCTCTTAAAGTGGAAGAAAATACTAAACCCTCGATTCATATTAAAAAAGACACTTCACCAATGCATGAAAATAAAAAATTAAATGTAGAATCTTTAAAGTCTGAAAGCACTGCCGACAGCTCGCTTAATAACAATTCTCATAAAAAATTAGTTCCAAATAAAAATGAAAATTCTCAAATTAGCACAACCGTTGCCGACAGCTCGCCTAATAACAATTCTCATAAAAAATTAGTTCTAAATGATAACGAAAAATCTCAAATTAGAACAACTGTTGCTAAAAATGAAGCAGAACTTAAGCAATTATCTTCAATAAAAAATAAATCAGAAACTTCTAACTTAGAAAATAATTCACTTAATACAACTGTTAATTTAAATAATTTAAGTTCAATAAAAAATGAAACTACAAAGACGTCTATAATTAACAATAATAAACTAACAAAATCAAAAAAATTAGAAAACGAAGCAGTTGCCATGACTGAAAAAATTCCCACAATCAAATTGGAGCAAGGTCAACAAAATGATGAAAAAACGCTACAGATTACTGTGGTTGAGAAGTCTGAAAAAGAATTAATAGAGACTATATCAAATGTAGAAAATCTTGCCACCCCCTCATTGCAGCAAAACAGTGCAGATAATATAATATCAGAAAATAAAGTCACAAAACTAAGGTCACAAAATAAAAACTCAAATGAGCCAGAAAAAAAACGATTATCATTAAAGAGAAATGATAGTGAAATAAGACGTGCCTCTATTGCAGCTGTCGAAATATCTAAAATAATACCATCCTTTGATGAAGAAACATCCGTAGAAATTAAATTAGAAAGACGTCCCTCAGACTCCACAGCAGTCGTCAAGAAAAAAGTGCAGGGCACAAGCACTAAATTTGCATCCGTCATGGAAAACGATTTAGCGACAAAGGTTAAAAAGGTCACTAAAGTTAAACGTTCTTCAGTGAAAAAGAATGCAACAGATGCTGACGTTATAGCTGCTGTTGCAACTACAGCACACCAACAAAACACAATACTAACAACAAATCAAATTACAACTGAAGCCAAAGAGGCCAAGACAAGTGCGACATCAATTGTTGTCGATAATGGCGAACTTATCAATGAAAATAGTTTATGCAATAATAAAATGTTGCCAATTACTAGAACAGCTACACAAACACCCACAGAAAAACCAATAATAAATAATCAAACGAAATCAATGCCCAATGATGCATCATTAACAATAGCCGAAGTGCCAATGATGCCAATGATGCCAATAATGCCAACAACGACTACTAACGACGCCACAGAAGTTATAAAATCGCAAAATCAAAATTCTGTACCGCAAAATCTAGAAATATCGCCAACATTACAAGTTCCATTGCAAGACGGTACAGTACGAAGTAATAGTGAATCGGCAGAATTAAAAGTTGTCTGCGAAACTCGCACTGAACCAAATAACTCGGAAAAGCTAGTGAAGAACATAATTAAATCAAAAAGTGAACAAGATGAAAAATTAACTCCTCCTGAAAAATTAATAACAAGTACGGAAGAGAACAAATATATTGATGCAGAAAAAATACAAAATAAAACAACAACATTAATACACAGTCAAGAGTTGTTGGATATCAAAAAACCCATTAATCAAGAAATAATTCCAAGCGAAACGCACGATAAACAAGCTCAATCAAGCGAAAGTCAACAGGTGTCCATAGCTGCCATTGCCAACACCAACGCTGCGATATTGCAAAGTGAAAACTCAACGAGTGCGGACGCGGTTAACGAACGCTTTAAGGACGCAACACCGAAAATAATTTCAATTGCAACTAATGTAGATGCAACTACAAAAACTGAAAGCATCGATACTGCCCCGAACAGTGTTCAAGTAATCGTCGAATGTAACGCAACCGACACAAGTGAGGAAACAACAACAGCAACAGAAGAAACCATGCCCGAATTACAAGTCTTACCAGCACCTGTGGTTACAGCACCACAAGTAGGTCATAAGGAACATCACAGTGGTAAAAAGAAAGTTATTATAAAAAAACTTATAAGACAATGCTCGAAAGATAAGACAATAACAGCACCGCCTAAGGCTAATGAAAATACTAGCTTAATTGGCGAGGCAAACATAGAAAACAATGATATTAACGTTATTCCTCCGGAAGAACTGGAAAATGCAATTGAAATAACAACAATTGAAACAGATGTGGAGGTTTCCACAAGTGAAATTGAAATACCGGTTGCACCACCAAAAAAACCGCGACGTGTTAAAAAGAAAGTTATTATTAAGCGTCAACAACGTAAACTTTCCATAGGTGATACATTCTTTAGAGGTCCAGAAGAGGAACCTGTTGTATCCGAAATAGAAACACTTGAAAAGCCTATAGCATATGTGACAGATGATGAAGATGATGATAGTATGAAAGAGAAAAATGATGAACCTGTTCAACCGCTGAAAAGTTGCATGAAATCGCGTGAGTATCAAATCGGTGATATAGTTCTATACGCTGAACGATTTAAGAAGACACAAATCAGATGGAAGAAAGGACGTGTGATTGAACGCATAACAAGTATATCATATATGCTGGATATTGATGGTAAAGAAGTGCCTTCACATGTGAATTATCTCAAGAAGTTTACAGAACGTAAAGTTAATTTTGGGGGCAAAGAATATTTAGAAATTGACTATGAACAGATTGAAGAGGAGGAGAGACTTGCGCGCACCTACAGCATATGGAATATGGTATGAGTAATGATACTTTGAATTAAAGTTAAAAAAATATTTTTTTAAATTTTATTTCATATAAAGTTATAGTGTTGTGATGAAATGGAAATAGATGTAATTTTTTTTAATTTGTTATAAACTTCTTATCATTAAATACTTCACTTTTTAACACTTTACTTTTTTTAACAAAAAAGTTGTTATTAAAAACAATGATCATTAAAATTAAGTTCTTAATTAACAACTTAGTCTGAAGCCTACAAACATTTATTTAGTGATAATAATTAATGTGAATAATATAATAATAATTAATATTGAAATTGAAATTGTCTATAAAATATTCAATATACTATATTATATACTTTATATATTATGTATATAATTATATATACTGTAATATATAATTTACTACAATTGGTTTTTAAAAAAAATATAAAATTTAACTTAAAAGTTGGTATATACTAATATCAAAAATTTATTTAAATTAATATATAATTATTTTATATATATCATTATATATAATAATAATGTAATAATATTAAATTTATTAATTATATATTTTTACTTATATTACATATATGTGTAATATAAAAAAAAAAACAAATAAAAAAATAAATTTTGAATATGTATATGTAAGGCATTAAATTTTTCAAATTACTTTCATATACATGCATACATATATAAAACTCTTCCGGCAATTTTATTTTTTATTTATTGTGAATTTTTTATTTTGAATGAAAAATTCATTATGATATTAGTTATATACTAATACCTCAAAAAAATATGTATATTTTTATATTATTTTATATTTAATCTCAATAAAAACTATGGTAATTTCTAAAAACAGAATTAAAAATTCAAAATAAATAAAAAATAAAATGCCGGAAGAATTTTTTTATTTATATGTAATTTATGTAATTAATAAAGAATTACATTTTTTATAAAATTTTTAAAATGAAAATCGACTACTTTTTTTTTTATTTTTTTGGAAAATAAATAAATTAAACCGATGAAAGATAAAAGATATATAAAAAATGAAAGATAAAAATAAAGTATTTTAAGTATTTAAGATTTAAATATTTCCACTTGATCACAACACTAAAAAAATTTAGTGTGTAGATTTTGTTATATATCATAAAAACAATTTTCCATAATATTTGTAATTGTTATATTTAAAAATATTTTAAGTTATTTTTTTTTTTTGAGTTAATTAAAAAATTTATTATAATTTTTTAATGATCTCATTTGTCTTTATTATAAAATTTTTTTAATTTAGATTTGTAAATGTAAATACTAATTGTTACTTTTCAAATGTACATTTTTTTGTAATTAAATTGAATTTTATACTTTTTGAAAAATGCATATATTTTTAAAATTTAGTTTTGTGTAGTATTAAGCAGTTTTTGTAAATATTTCTATATATCATCTATCACATATATCATATATAAATTTTTAAGAAAATGATAAAATTTGGCATTTAGTAATTGTGATCAACTTAAAAATAATTGATAATTATTATATTGTGTCAAAAAAGAAATAATGTAGAAAAATATTTGAAAAATATAATACATATAAAACACATAAAATAAACCTATATATTTTAAAAGTAATATATTATCATAAAAATAATATTATCAGTTTTAAAAGCAATATAAAAAAGTATTTAATAATATGCACTTTATGCATAAGAAATAAAACTAAAAAAGTAATATTTTATTATCACACACACAGTTACCAATTTTATGAAATAAATTAATAAATATTTTATAATTATAATAATTATAATTATAATTTGATTTAATAATTATAATTTTAATTAATAAAAATATTATAAATATTAAAAAATATTTATAATTAAATAAAATATTAAATTATAAATAAAATAAAATAATAATACGTATAATATGCAATTTTTAAACTAAAATTTTTTTTATCATAAATAAAAATATTTCCTTTAACATCTAAAAAAATAATTTATTATTTTAATTATTTCAGTTAGGAATTTTATTTTCGTTACAGATCAGAGCTCCTTTTTTATATGCATATAATCTCAAATAATGAAAATAAATATTCAAGCAATAGCTAAATTCATGTAAATTTATTTTTTAAATATTTTAATTGTATAATATTTTAAAAATATTTTAATCTTTTATTTGTGATCAAAAATTTTATATAATAATTTATTATCGAACTAATTGGTCATTTAAATAGAAATAAAAAAACTATAATTTATTATTTACATTTAAAAAGAAATTATATTTCGATAGTCGAAATATCGGAAAAATGTTTTAATAAAATATAATTTGTTTTTAAATATAAATAATAAATTATATTTTTTTTTTATTTCTATTTAAATGACCAATTAGCTCGTTAAAAAATTTTTATATAATATTTTATAAAATACAGATATGAAAAAAGTATAAAATTATTTGCTACAATATATAAGTTAATATATTAGAAAGTGATTTTTTCTTTATTTTAATGCTAAAATTAAGTGCATTGCACAAGCACTTTTTAGAGATACTGTTTACAGACATGGACTTAATCTTATTTTTGAACTAATAATTAATTTGAATTTTTGATTATAAAATTCTTTATTTAAAAGTATATATAATATAATATTAATAATTTTTAAGTATCATTTAAAAAAAAAATTATGCCAAATTTTTTAAGAGGTTTTTATAGCTCTCAAAGTTTATTATTTCTGCTTCGTAATATTCAATAATATAAAAATCAAAGAAAAGTAAATTTAGTAATAATATAATAGAATATTAAAAACTTTAATTTAATAATACAAATAATATAAATTCAATTAAAGTAAAATTACTATACTTGAAGCCAATGGTTGTTTATTAATTAATACCATTAAAATTAATTAATTAATTAAAAATTTTAATACCAGAAGAACTTATTTAGTTTATAAATCGAGTATTTTTATAACAATAATATCTATAAAATTTTTGAATTTGTTTATCGACCTGTTTTTTTATAATGTTTTTTATGTATTTTTTAATTCGAGGAGAGGAGAGTATAATAAAAAATATTAAACATTGAATTATTTAACAAAAAAAGGACCTATAGCCAAATTAAAAAATATATAAAAACCATAATAATATCTATATTTTCTTAAAAACTACAAATTTATTAATTAAATTTAGTCTTATACGAGTAACAAAATTATGAATACAAAATTCTAAAACAAAACAAAATGCTATAATAAATATTAAATGTACTTGCATATAAACACTAACTAAATGCCAAATTATAAACATTTTTGAGTTAATAATGCATAAATTGAAAATATAAACATTACTATTAATAGAAAAAAAAATTATATTCTATATTCTAATCTTTTGTATATAAAATTTTTATTTTTCTTTTGCTTAAGTTTAATTGAATTTTTAGAAAGTGAGCAAGAAGCAAGCACAAGACATTCATATTTATTTATTATTTTACATTATTTTACATTGTAAATAAATGAAGTGTTTTAATTGAAATTTTGTAAATTTTGTTAATTATTATGTTTACGAAAATTTATTATATAGTTGTTAGTCATTTTGCAAAAATATATTTATATAATATTTATATAAAATTTTAAAAATACACTAGAAAAGAAATTCAAATTGTAATAATTTCTATTTTAAACACTACTCTATAAAATAAGTTGTCATTGTAAATATAAAAATAGATTTGAATTGATTGTAAATAAATGATTTTATTAAAGTAAACAAAAATATTTGTTTTCCATTTAACAAAAAAAAAATATATATATATATGAACATAATTTTGATTTAAATCATAAAATGCTGAAGAGGTTCTTTTACAATTTTTCAATGAAATTATTTTTAAAAAAAATTTTTCCACTAATTTTCAGTCATTGAAAAATTTTAGGTGTTGACTGCATGAAAATTTTATATTTTCAAATACAATTACTCTTAAAAAAATATAAAAGAAAAGAAAATACATATGTGTAACATTGTATATAGTATATATCTGTATATTGTGTACATACATCAATAGTCATAAATTTATTTTAAAATACATTGCGAATACATACATATAAGCTTTTAATGAATGAATAAATTTTGTTCATATATTTGATGTAAAATATTAGAAAAAAATTTGTATAAAGAAAACATTTATACAATATATGTATATACATTTAATTAAATATATTTATATATATATGCAGTTGATATTTTTATCAATTTATGTTATACGAAACGTAAATGGGACATTTGATTTTACCATTTAAATTTAGTGGTTTTGCTATAAAATTTTATTTTGGCGCCCATATAAACCAATCGTGAGCTAAATTCCTGACAAGCTAAAAATAAATTTTTTTATTGCTTTCTACGCTAAAAAAAATTGATATTTGAAATGTGTATATATATTATATATGTTATAATAAAATACTATGTATAATGTTAGATGGTTAAAAGTGCTAGTTTAGTACTGTTTCAGAAGATATCTTCATACTATTATCTAAAAATTAATTTACCTATTATCTAAAAAATAAAATTACTTGAAGATTTACGTGATCACTAAGTCGGTAAAGACATCTTTCTCTAATTTTACATACATCTAATTTAAGGTAGGTTTCACTAAAATATTTGTACATATTTTCAGTATTATATATACGCTTTGATGCATTAATAAATAGTCTGAAAGTAATAGATTAATAATGCTATACCATTTCAATATCAAAGTAGACAACCACTCTTCAAAATTAAATACCGTGATATTGAATAAAAAAACCAATATAATTTTAATATTAATTTGAAATTAATAATTTTAAGACCTAATATAATATTTCCGTGTTAATCTACAATCTAATAATTACATTTTTAATTATAAATTTAAAATAATTTATAATTTTAATTTAAATTTTTAAATTATAACTTTATAAAGTTATAATTTCAATTATAACTTATATATTTATATTATATTTTTGAAATTAATATTATTAATATATGGGTATATGCGAAACATTTTTCGTGCAATTTAAAATAGAGCTTTAAAGATTTTTAATTAAAAACGTGCATCCCTTATGCATAATTCAAAATTAAAATATTCTAAAATATTCTACTAGGTCCCAAATTCATA